CGGCGCCTTGCAAAAAGGAGTTGGGAGCAGTTGCCGGTAAGCGTGAAAAACCCCACACGCCCAAAAAGGGCGTGAAGCAACGGAAACCCCGTCTCCTGCGCTTGCCAGCTGGGCTCTGCTCTAGGAAGGAGGCACTGGCAAACCACTCCCGAAACACCTTGCCTTGAAAACTGCAAGGACTCGTCCAAGCAGTCACTGCAAAGTTGGTAACGACTGAGCGCAGATTTTTTTTAAAAAAATGTACAGGGGCATCAAATCCAACAAGCACCACCCTAGACAAAGACATCTAATAGCACAGCCCAAATTTGAGTTGGTGGTAGAGTACAAAAAATCATACCTGTTCAGGCTGACAGAAGTTGAAAAGGAAGATAAGGTGAATGGACAGAAATAAATTACTGGGGTGTCCTCGAGACAGGTCTAAGTTCTTGCTAGGGAAGGTCAAGATGGCAAGCATTTGTCCATAGGCTCAGCCAGAACTGAACTCGAGAGGATGGCAACTTTTGGAGGGTGTTGAAGGGGATCTCAGAAGATTCTAAGTAGGAATGAACAGTTGCATCTACACTGCTTGTGGTCACTTCATGTATCTCTTACTTGTCTTAATTTCAAAGCTAAGAAATCCAAGTGTTGTCTTTTCTCGTAGGGGAGTTGCCCTGTCTGTTGAATAATAATGAATTTACTGAGCTATAAACTAATAATCCAGTTTACCCCCATCCCACACAATGGGCTGGTGAGTACTAGCTGAATCACTGACAATGCTATGTAAGGGGCAATCTGGATGAGGGCTTTTGTTTGCTTGCTCAAGCAATGTGCAATGATTATAGCTTCCTTGTTGGCAGGAATCCAGGTGATACATGCAGCTCTACTGTTTCAGGGTTGAGTGGAATGTGCTTAATTGTTGCAAATACTGTGTGGGAAGTTAATAAAAAATAAAGCAAGGTTTGCTAAAACAGTTCTTAAAAATATGCAAGTCAGTAAATCTCTTGTTATAATGATCTTCTATTAAATGAACCCTCTTGCTCTTCAATTTCTTTCACATTTTTTTTTTGAGGGAGGACACATGCTTTCTTCATTTGCAAATTATGCTAAACCAAAATGCCGCTGATTTAGTTTTGGCCAACCAAGTGTGAACTTAGCTGTTATGATTAACTAATTCATAGGTAAGTGAAGTGTCTGAAACCAACAATTGTGGCTTATTCAACAAACCTAGTTAATAAAATCAGAGCTTAGTGCAGCATTGGAATCCTGCCCCTGCCTCCCTCAGACTCTGAGTTCTTGTTCTGCCCCTGCTCCCCCAAATGGAGTCAGACTAGTTTGTTCATGAGCATCTACTTGTAGAAACCAGAGTTGGCATTTTTTAAAGAATACACACAATATTGGCACAAGCTGATGTGTCACCAATATGTTGTGACCAGATGTTCTGAAGTGTCTTCAAGCTCTCCATCCTTTGTATTTTTAGATTATTTATTTATTTAAATGAGAGGGAAACTAGCATGTTGCAAAGCAAAGCACCAGGCTGGACTCACGGCTATTGCTGGATGGGCATGCGGAGGCTGTAGCCAGTTGACCCTTCATCCAACTTCATCTGGTGCACAAGTTACAGACCTACCGGAAACATCCAAAACATCTCAGGAGGAGCTCTTGGTTGTATCCCACTTCTATGACGTGAGGGAAGCCAAGGCCCGGTAGTGCTGCTGCTTCGTCATTGTTCTGGATTTGTGGAACAGCCTCCTTTTAGAATTAAGGCTTGCCCCATCTGATACAACCCTCTGGAAGTTATCCAAGATGGCGTTCTTCTGGAGAGCACTGATGGTTATCTTTGATTTTTACCAATAGTGTCAATCACTTTGTACTGTGTTCTACTTGCTGATTGTTACTGTAAATTGTGGTGACTCTCCAATAGTACATCAGTAAAATAAATAGCATTCCTGCAATGCCTCTGGGACTCATCTGGTCTCTAGAAGCAGAAAACAAAAATCCTGGATGGCTGCAGCCGGGCGCTTTCCCTTCCAATATAGAAGCATTTTGTGACTGGCCATCCCTATTGTGGCAACCATTTTGTCCGTAATATTCCTGTGGTGGTTTAAGAAAATGCCAACTTTTTTTCAGGTCCTGTTATGGATCATAAAAACACATTTTTCCCCCAGTACATCTCCTTATGCACTAAAGACTAGAACTGATGCCATTGACTCAAATCAGGACTGCATTTTCTTCAGTACTTACAATGCAGAGCACTCTTATTGGTTATCTGGAAATGACCAGTGTGGCTTTATTGCTCTAGGGTTGTGGTGGTGGGGGTGTTTTGTTGCTCATCAGCCCTGGCTTGTTTGTCCCAGGTCTAGTTCCTAATGCTGACTGGCAGGCAGGGTAAGAGGGAATAAAAATTTGCTTCATTCTACAAAGGGTGATTGATCTTTTTGCGGAAACAGAAAGACATGATTAGATTACTTTTAAAAGGAGCCTGCAGAGATTATTAACTTTGCTCATGAAAAGGGCACGTAATATGCTCCACGCAGAAGAGATGGCTACCGTCACAGGAGTGTAAAATAGTGGGAATCCACTGAAAAACAGTCTTAGTAGACTGAATCCATATGGTTCCAGAAGGCCCTCAGTCTCTCTTAACTCAGCATGGTAACTAAGAGCAACTTGCCTTTCTCATTCTGTTCCACGCACTATAAGTCGCGAGGCTCCGATAGGTCGTCAAAAGGGAGACTTGGCCAGGAACACAGGAAGCCAGAGTTCCTGTGAAAGGGTGCAGGCTGCATGCCCTGAGCAGCCACAACCATTCCCAGCATAACTGAAAGCCAGCTCTTTCAAGGCACGGATGACAATTTGCAGGAATATAACTGCTCTACTTTAAAATGCAAGAGAGGCCTTTATGAGACTACTA